CACGATGGTTGATTAATATTCCTATACATATCTTTTAGAAGAGGACGAACGAAAAAATAATGCGTAATATCTTTGGCGTGCTTTCATCCCTCATCGAGAGTAACCTAAAACAAGGATATTGCAAGCCATATAAAATGGAAGACGAGTTTATGTTCTTATCAATTTAACATCTAATACGTGAGCTAATGATTCAGTAGATATTAAACTTTTTTATTTTATTTTTTATGGTGAGGCTCCCTTTCGTCTTCTTTGCATTGCACTATTGCAATGGCCTTTGCGTTGCACTACTACAATGGCATGGAACCATGGACGGAGCCAATCAAAGCTCACTGGGGGCAGATGTCCCGACTCAAGTAATTCGTTTGTTAAATTACAAACTTCAATTATATAATATACACGCGTTATCTTTGGAGAGGTCGCACTTGGTGCGATGGCAAGTGCCTTCACCCATGAGCGGTAGGTCTCGGGTTCGAGACTTGGGAGCAGCCTCTCCATAAAATGGGAGTAAGGCTAGCCGACATTCACCTCTCCCAGACCCTGCGTAAAGCGGGAGCCTTGTGCACTGGGTACGACACGCGTTATCTTTGGAGTAAATATTTGTATCTAATGTTCAACATACTTTCATACTACTTCACTCCATAATATGAGCAAAAGTGTTCTTGTTCTGTCATTCAAACCAAAAAAACCTTCCCCCGCCTATCGTGTAGAAATATTTTTCTCATCATTTTGTAACTTTTCACTACTAGATTGAAATTTTTGTACCATTGGAATTGTGATACACCATCATTTGAAATCATCCATATTATCATATTGGGTATTAAGCCATCCTATAATAAGGTCTTCTTAGTTATTTTTCAAGATGCCCTTACTAAAAGAAATTTCTAACTTCGTCCTTGCATGGAACACCCAACAATTCTAGTTCAAACTTCTGCTATGAAGCTATCTCAAACCCAAGAAGAAGGGGAGAATATTGAAACATTAGAGGGAAAAAAAATCCACAACAGAAAAGGAAAACTTTTGGTGGTAATTATCAGGGGCGGGAAGGGGGTCACATGGCCTTCCGAACTTTAGTGAACTTCGTGGGTGATCTGGGTGCTGTATTTTTGAAGGTTAGAGTCAAGGAACAAAATGCCGATAATATCGGCGATATATCGGTTTTTCGCCGGACTGATATTTTAATAGGTATCCAAATGGTTTTCGTTAAAATATTGCGATATTATCGCGAAATTTCGGAACTGTGCAAGTCGGAGACAAACGCCGGAGCTTCTACAGCTCCGGCCGACTGTAAAACAGCCCCCTAGACTCCGATCTAGGTATGAAATGAAGCCCAAGGGAAGAGGAAGAGATCTATACCATTTTCAAGGCATGCCGTGGTCGGAGCTTGATGGAGTTTCGCCTTGGAACCCACGGTCCACACCAGAAACTCGGTTTTGGTTTTCTCTAAACTTTTGCACCGGTTTCCATGGTGCTACCATCCTTGTCTGCACTAGCAGAGGGAGAAGAAGAATGAGGGAGATGAGGGAGTGCTGGTGTGTGTGTGTGTGAGTTCGGGGAAGAACCGAAGAAGGAATGAGAGTTGCAGAGAGAGGGAGAGCATGGGAAAGTGGAGAGAAAGAGAGGACTGAGAGAGAAGAAAGATGAGAGCCTCGGGGACAAAAATAAGGGGGTGGACCCCTGGGATCACTAATTAAGATCCAAAAACAATAATTTTTTTTAAAAATAAAAAATAAAAACCTAGAAAGTAAAATTATAAACTAAAGGGAGGGGTTTTACATTAAGGCCTTATTCGAAGATGTGACCCTTCTAAACTAGAAATATACCAACTGATGGATTACTTTATGAAAAATTGGTAGAATGAGACATAAAGATAAAGTCATCTAACTTGTAAGGCAACTTTCTTGACATAGTATTTTACGTCAATATATAATTTTGAACCTCATAGGAACTCTATGTGGTACTAAGTCACTCATGTATCTTACCATGCAATTTATAAAGTGTAAAATATTGTACTAATTCATTATATATAAATGATTATGGTGTGTTTAGACTTCTTTCATTAATTACTACATATTTTCTATACTCACAATGTTTGTCAGCTCGCTATATAATCAACTTGATAATGTTAAATCCATCATGCAATGCATTTCCTTCCAATTTTTTGTGATAAACTAATAGATAATTGACTAAATAAACATCCTGCAAAGTTTCAATAAAAATTTCCAAGTTTTTCTTACAATTTCCGTGGTTTCCATGTAATTTTTATCGATATCGATATTATATCGATATTTCCATCGATATTTCCGTGTTTTCAGATTACCGATATTTCCGATATTACCGATATTTAATACCTTGGTTAGAGTTGCTCGCTGTAATACCCTCCAACTGTTTGATAAAACGCTTCAAGGAAGAGTTCTCTTTTTATTTATTATTATTTTTACATATTACCTGGCCAAAACATGATTACTTTATAATAATAAAAGAAGGCAAGCATCAACTTGAAAGAAAAAAAAAAAGATAAAAAAAATAGAAAGAAAAACAAACCCGGAGGTTGCAACTTCCCAAACTCCATCCCTAACGTCCAAACTCCTGCCACCCCACTTCGGCAATCATGTGTATTTGCTAATTATATTGGCTTTGGTTCAACTAGTTGCTACTGCTTTAGTAAAGAGAACATTTTCCGCTATGAATATTATGAAAAAGTTGATTACCTAACTGAATGGGAGATCAATGGTTGAGTGATATAATGATGGTTTATATTGAGAGTAATGTTTTTTCTTCCACCAAAATTGAAGTTATAATGCAGCGTTTTCAAATATAAGAACGCTTTGTGGACAATTGTAACTTTTATTGTTATTTGTTTTATAAATTATACATGATAGAAACTATAATTTAATTTTTAAGATTATTATATGTCTAAAAAATATTTATGAATTTTTACATATAACCATCTGAATAACTTTTCTTGAATCGCCACTCATAATTACCCTAATCAGAAATCCAATTTTAAGATTATTATAAGATTATTATATGTCTAAAATCTTGCAAGTAATATTAGTTGACAATAAGTCACTCTCTCAATTGTAAACCAGTTGCAGGGAAACTACACTGCACTTTCATGCAAACCAATTTTCCAATCCAATCATTAATAGGCAACTTCTTTGAAGGTTCAAATTCTCCATTTGACAACTTCTTTGAAGGTTTAAATATATATATATATATATATATATATATATATATATATAATGTGTGTGTATATAAATATATATGGCTGTAACATTTTGTGTTCATCAACTTCTGGTTTTCTCTTACACAATTTGTAAAAATGAAAATCCTGCACAGATACTCCAAGCTCTTGAAGTGGTTCTTAAACAGTAAGAATTTCAAACTAACTCTCCTCCCTTGCCTTCTTTCAAAACCCGAATCCAAAACCGAGAGCCCTTGTTCAACTTTCCCTACTGAAAATCCAAACAATGGCATCACAAACAAAGAGCTTGCAAAAGTTTTTGATCATTTTGACACCAACAACGACGGCAAGATCTCCGGCGACGAGCTCTTCGCTTACTTCGTGTCCATCGGGGAAGCCATGTCCAACACCGAGGCTCAGAGCGTGATCGAAGAATTCGATAGCAATGGTGACAACTTGTTGGAGTTTGAAGACTTCGTGAAGTTGATGGAAAGAGAGGGCGATGGCAACGATGATCTCAAAAGGGCTTTTGAGATGTTTGAAGTTGACAAAGGTTGTGGATGCATAACCCCGAAAGGACTGCAGAACATGTTCAATCGATTGGGAGATGCCAAATCGTACGATGAATGTGTGTCCATGATTGGAGTGTTTGATCTTGATGGAAATGGAGTTCTTGATTTCCACGAATTTCGTAAGATGATGGTTTCAACTTGAATGTCGCGGTTTGTGTAACGTAACGCTTCTTGTGCCAAACAAATATGTATAAAGAGTTGTTTCCACTCTGGTGTCTTATCTCTCCACCCACTTTTTAATGAAAATTTTAATTACAAGTTTTTTCATTTGCAAAATGATTTATAAGAACCTTAATAGATATATAATAATAATAATAATAAGTGGGTCGCGAAAGGATAACATGAGCTCTAGACTTTTATTGGCTTGTAAAAGGAATGGACAATATGCAAGTTGAATTCGCAAAAAAAGATAAAAAGGATGAGGATAGAAGGAATTTTGGAACAAAAAAGTGTGGATGCCCTTTCAAATTAAAGGGTAAGACGCTAAAGATGATTGGATATCGATAGTAGTTATTAGAGTGCATAATCACACAACAATAAAGTATTTGGAGGGTTATTAATTTGTTGGTAGATTATCGTCGAAAAAGAGTTCGTTGTTGGGGAAATAACATTTCAAATTTTTAGGAATAATAGTGGGTGGGGAAATGGCATATTAAAGGCTATTTTAGGAATAATAGTAAGTGAAAAAATAGCATTTCAATTTTTCAACTTTTTTATGGTGGGTAGAATTATAATGTTGGTGGGGAAATAAGACAATGGGTGGATCTAGCAGCTCTCTATTTATATTATCATACTGAATCCAAACTAAACATTCTGATACGTTAAATAGGTGATTTAGTTCATATTTTGGCAACACAAGCATCTTATATTACATTTTTTACTGATATTAAGGTGAACCGAGTACATTGACTCCATCGAGTAGTTCCATTTAGATGATTTTGCTTTTTAATTTCTCTAGAATTTCCATTAAGTTTCCTCCCTTTCCTCTTTAGGTCTAAAGGAAAAAAAATTGCTTCGAAGGTAGGAGAGAAACTTACCTACTGCAATAGGAATGTCACCGTGTAGCAGTATATGAAGCCAATCGGGTATTTGCATGCTTTTTAACTTTTCCACGTAACATTGAGACTTGAGACACCACCACAGTAGCATCCCGTTATATGGAAGAGGTTTTTTGCCGAAAAATGGCCTGGTACATCAAATATAATAATACAATTGATTGAAGATTTCAACCAATATTACTGTTGTACCAGAACGTGCGCCCGGCACTAAATAATTTCTCGTTATATGGAAGTCCTCCACAAGTAGAGACCGAAAATTCTGCAAATTGTGCAACGGGAGAAAAAGAGTAAATCAAATCAATGAATTGATTCATGGCATACAGCCACAATCACAAGAACTACGTAACACTCTAGAGTCAATTCCTATGCACTCTTGGCCTCTGGGTTCTAATATGAAAAGGCCAAAGCTATAACAATGTGGGAAAGAAAAGATTCGGAAGCACCCAAAAAACTCAAGGATTCAGTCCTCAATAAGGAAACACCCCTGTCATTCTAATATGTTCTAGGGTACTTCGAAGCCCGTATTTCTGCACTGCCTGTTGACCGGCCCTGAATCCATCTCCATACACCGGGGACATGTCAGTTTCGAGCTGGTGTAAAAAGAACCCCCCGAGCTTACTCTCAAACGGCGATCTTGTACCCTTCTTTGATGTCCTCGAAGAGGAGGAAGACGAGGTTGATGCAGCATTGCTACCTGAGCCAGACATAAGCTCGGCCTCTAGCCACATGTGAGCTAAAACTTGACAGATACCTTCTTCGACATCTTGACTAAGAGGTCGGTAACCTTCAAGAAGAATTGAGGATCTAGTCAGTTATTTTCTTTTTGATGCCATCTTTAGTTCGCAATTCCTTCAGCAAAAATGGAACGAAACAAACAAATAAATGGATCATCTAAAATGCACCTTTAAGCCGCAGCCATGCATGCATCATCTCATGAGCTAGAATAGACCCAGTCAGCAACCTGTACACAGACGGTTCTAGTCACGCAACAGATTTAGCCAGGAGTTACAATTGTGCCACAAAACGAAATAGATAGAAACGCACCTTGGAAGACCATACAAGATTAGAATTGCGGTCACCTCACAGCGACGAGTTAGCTTGTAGGGCTCTGTTATCAATCCCGTGGCTTGGTGTCCTGCCCCAAAACGTGGCCGCTTTGAAATCTGGTGGTTTTCAGATCAATACAATATAAGTTGCTAAACCACAAGAAGATACTTTACCAACTGCTGTAGAAAGTGAAAATAATATATTCATAAAACTCTCACCGTGCTAATAGTTTGTTCCTCAGAAAGGCAAAGCCCTCTAGTCTCAGGCATGTGATAATGGCCCTGGAAATGACAAAAAGTTGATCAAAGTCGGATTTAGTCTCTAAACCTTGAGAAGACAAGCTTCAACGAAAGATGAGTAGATAATGATACGACAGGGAAATCTCCGGAGAGACTTGTACATGCATGTTTCTGTATGTTAACATGTCAATAACATAAATCCAATGGGATGAATGATTTTCATATGCGTTAGTTTGTAAGTATCAGAGACAAATGAGAAAAATGTTTTCGATTAACAATGTATGACTTGCCAATGATGACTGGAAAACTATCCCACTTTCATACTAAAATTATATGGTTTCAACTGATTGTCCTTACATTTCTTTCTCCATCTCTTGCTTCATTTAGCGCTTGTCTTTCAACCAAGAGCAGTGGAACTTGCTGCTCCAACTTCATATTTAAACCTTCATAAAATTCCTGAATATCGAGATATAGGGGTTGGCATTCACTGGTATCCATGACTGCAGAGTCCAAACACTCTAGACAGAGCTTCCGACCATCATCAAGGGGTACATATCTTGTGTCTCGGGCCTGCATGTAGTGAACATAGACATCTTGTTATGCACTCTTTTGCTTTATTCTTTCTTTTCTTATAAAACAATCGGGTTAGCCATATTTCGTAGCATAACTATGTAAAGTAATTTATTCCAACTGACCTCCATTCGCTCACAACTGCCACACCGAGGAGTATTATCAATTTCATGAACAGGGCAGTATTTTTGGACCCAAAATGGATGTGCCCTATATTCAATAAGACCAGCAGGGTTTGTTGGAATCTGTCAAAAGATATATATTACAAAACGAAGAACAACTAACAACAAATCACATATGAGTTATTTCTCAGACAATTAGTATTCAACTTGAAACAAAATTCAACAAGGCATGGTTAGCACCGTCATAACTTAAAAAATCAAATCAGATCATGATACTTACAAAGTGCTTGCAAACATCACATTTCGGATGGTAGCTATCCTTGTAGCAAGCTTTATGGTAAGGATAATGCCCAGATGTAGAAAACTACATAAAATGAAACATATGTAAGATAATTTGGACAACCAAAAGGCATCTTGCAAAAGAACCAGTGCCGAAATTAAACTTATTTTTTGCACCTCATAATCAGAAATTGGTTGGTTGCATGCACGACAGCGGAAACATTCTGGATGCCAAACTGCATTCATGCAATTTAAATACCGTCCAAAACCAATCTCAGCATTGCAACCAGCACAAACCCTATGTCAAAGAATGAGGATACTGTGTCACAATATGGTAAATATAAGCAATGGGCCAACATGGAATATAATGTGAAGTTCCACAAGGCATTATCGATGCATCAAGAGTAATTGGGTGTTCAGTCTGGTTCATGTGGAGAAACAACTACAATTTCAAACCTTACATCCTTCATAGTAAATAAATTGTTAACACCTCAAATCTCATCAACTCACTTTTCTTTATTCGTCGTTCCTAAACACAGTGATTTTAAATTCCATCATTGTACACAATCACGTCAAGCAAAAGAAATCAAAATTTACAAAGTAACAGAAGCACGGAATAGGGATTCACGGTATAAAAGAGAGTGGGTGGCACTGAGAATGCAAAGAAGCATTGAGAAAATGTGAGAAACGAGATGCAGACAATCGCATATTGTTGTTTCAAAGGCCATTCTACACGTCCATGAGGTAAACGAGCAGTAAACTACCCAAAGGAAGAAATAGCATTGAAGCGTATCATTACCTGGAGCCCATTGGGTAGTCCATGGGGATAGGGTATGAACTTCCATTTCCATATCGGGGAGGAGGGATAGGTTGATATGTATTTCCATTTCCATTTCCATTTCCATTTCCATATCGGGGAGGAAGGATAGGTTGATATGTATTGCCATTTCCATTTCCATGCCGGGGAGGAGGGAAAGGTTGATACGTAGTTCCATTTCCATTTCCATTTCCATGCCGGGGAGGAAGGAAAGGTTGATACGTAGTTCCATTTCCATTTCCATTACCATGTCGGGGAGGAGATTCCACATTCAGACTTTCTTGTAGAGCTCTGGCAAGTTGTTCATCTTCTAGCAACTGAGAATCAGAGCCTATAAGAATAATACATTCTTATTAATTCATATTGTATCATTTGACATTACAAGAACGAACAAGCACACATGAAGAAATATACAAAGTGGAAACATTTGCAATAGCATTCATAGGAAAAATCACTCACCAATCACATTTTTTCCTTTTTGATTTTCTTCTAAAAGAGATAGTGCAATAGCACGATCTATTTCTTCATTCTCGTTTTCTGACCAGACCTCCTACATGAAGTTTCCCACCACAACATGTTAAACCAGTTCAAGCATACCAAATGAAGATTAAAAAGAAGCCTGTGTTCCATAAAGTGATCGTTTTCCATATATTAAGAAGGGGTAGATGTTATACCCCTGAACAAGAAGGTCCATAGCTATTTGGATCCTCGTCATTATTGTCATGAGACTCATGACAATGCTCCTCCGATATCTTGTGGCTCGAGCCTTTAAAAATCTTGCTAAGCCAACCCATAACGTGTAAGGTTATCTGCTCATAGTCAATCAAGTTTTTTACTGCACATGAAGACACCATCTGAGTTAATGCAATATCAACAGCAAAACCAACAGAAAAGAAAATTCATGGTTAATAACAGCCACATCTGAAAACAAAATTACGAATCAATATAAATAAAAACAGCATGCCGGGGCCATTCATGTTTTCAAGTAAATTTAACCAGCTGCAGAACGATACGAAAACCGAAAAAATATACAGCTAAACCGATGGCATGACCTATTTGGATTTCATCACCTAAAATTCCAGAAACTGGGTTTTGAAAATCTTGGTTGGACACCCCAATTCCAACAACTGATTAATCACCGCCATTGCATTTTTCAACAAGAAAAACATACCCAAAAAAAAAAAACAAAGTAAAACTAGAAAAGCAATTCACCCACCACGCATTTTGACACCCCACAATGTTCCACCTATAACTTCAATTTACAGAAATACAGAACTTCAATTTGCAGAAATACAGAAATAAAGGCGTGCCTAGGTCAATTATTACTAAGAAACCCACATATATATGGAGGAGAGAGAGAGGGAAGAGCCATTAACTTGAAGACATATAACAACTAATCTGAGGTAAAAGGAAAAGGCAGAGAATCAAAATAGTGGAGGAGTGAGTCACCTCCAAAAGAATCAACAGAAGGCAGAATTCTGAATGCTAACAGAGCAATCCCACAGATCAGATAAGATCCCAAAGCGATCAAAAGCACCATTTTTTTACAGCTAAAACCCAAAATTTACATAATTTAAACTCCTCCATCTCTTTCCCTCTGGGTTAATAAAATATAATCTAATCCAGCAGTAAAGAAACAAAGAAAAAGAAAAGCTTGATCTTTAACTCTTTAAATTCAGAGCAGAATCTGGCAGATGGATTGGGAAGAAAGAAGGAGGAGAAAATTCAAAATCTTTCACGTGTTAACATTAAAAGGAAATCCCGGAAAATATCTTAAGCAATCTCAATGAAGGAGTACACGAAACTGTTTACGCGATTTCAAAGTCAAGATTTTGAAAGAGCAGGTGTAAAAACTCCAACTTTTGATTGACTTTTTGTTCCGACCCAATTGGGGTTGACGAATTTTTCATCAAACCCAGTTGGGGAAACACATCAGAGAAGCCCCTTTTGAAAGTTCTCGAGGAATCGGAAAGAAAAAAAGAATTAAAAATCCAATCTTCAAATGATATAAAAATTTAAAGTTAAAAAAAGTTAAAAACTAAAACTACTTGAAAGAACAGAAAAAGCTTGATTTTGTGAAGATATTTTCGAGAAAGAAAATGTGTCGAAGCGTAAAAAGTGGAAGGAATCCGAAAAGAAGAAGCTGATTTCTTTGCCTTGCTTATTCCAATCTCTTTTCCCATCAGCCATTTTAGGCTTTTGGCAAATGTGACATAGCTACAAAGCACTTTTGGTAACGTTTGGGTGAGAAAGTCGAAAGTGTGTGTGGATTACAAAAGTAATTTTGTGTAAATACAATCTTAAGTTTTTAATTACAAATAGTTTCTAAAATTGACTCACTCAATAAAGATAATTTTTCAAATTAAAAATCGATCTTTAAATATGAATGCTGCAAATCAAAGTAATCATTTCATTGTAATTTTGTCAAAACTTATGTTAGTGATGGTATTGCAGGAAAGGGATCCTCCCTTCCACATAATTTTTCTTATCAAACAATTCGAATCTTTTAAATTTAATTCAATCGCTACAAACACGAGCCCATTTAAAAGTTATAATAACTTTATATGTTTAATTAAATTTCAATGATCCGGATTGTTTGATAAGGAGGATTACGTGGAATAGATCCGGAGAGGATCCCTTTCCGATATTGCATACATAATTAAATAATTAATTAATTTAAATTGTACAATAATAACAAATAAATATAAAAAAAATTATAAAAAAAAAAAGAGAACCCAACCACAGGCACCAAGCCACCATCTTCCCCACCCTAATCGCACCCAATCACCCCGCCCACGTGTGTCGAGAGTCGTCGGAGTGCTTCAATTGACGGCATTAGGGTGAATAAAAAACAGCCGGAGCGCCACCATGTTCTTACAGCGCCAAACACTTCGATGACGATTTTCCTCCGTAGGAAGGCGTGGCGAGGCCGGCGAGTAGTAATCCTAATAGTACGATTAGGTGGACGACTGCGAAGCACTCCATCGTCCGGCACTGCTACTCTCTCTCTTCTGCCGTCGAAAGTGCCAATATTTAATTAGACTTGCAGGTCACACATATGTGCTACATTATCCATTAACAGAAGTTATGACGAAATTTTAACAGAAGAATGGCATTAATTTACGGTATTCATATTCAGAAGCTATATTGATCGATTTTCAAATTTAAAAATCATCTTAATTTAGTGGATCAATTTTCGAAACCATTGCGCCAGTCAAATGGTGTAAAGTTGTAAACAACATGTTAGAATCTCATTGACAATGATACTATTTATTGCCTCATGATTTTGTTGTACGTTGGGGTCAAATTAACTTTGCCACTCTCATATGATTCTGGAGCACATTCTGATTTCGATCATATTATTTTTATCCTCTGAGCAAATAATCAACCGTCATTTAGAATGTAATGGTATAATCTTGTTTGATTTGTGCTATAATTAAAAGAAAAATCAAAACCAAATCGAAAATTAGCCGGTTTGGTTCATGCGCTATAATAATTTAGCATGTTTGTTTTAAGTGTTCTATTTTATTAACTGAAAAATTATGTGTTAATTATTATAAGTGGCGATCCATGCATATACAAATCATCATTCCTCGAATGCTTCATCGACTACGTCCTCCTTATTGAAAATTGTTTCTGTAATATTAATATATTCAAGTTTGAAAAACAAATGTCTTTGACAAACATAAAAAAAAACAAAAGCAAATGTCATTTTCCCACATGCCAATAGTTGTTAATTTTATTTTGTTGATGAAAGGGTGTGACATAATACACAATTGAGTCAAGTGACGTTATAGGATTCACACAACCGATCATATTTGGTGGGATAAAGCTTGGTCGTTGTTGTTGATGAAGGAGTGTGACAATATCAAAGTGTTCATCTATCCGGAAGGTTTGTGGGAGTTTAGCTGGATTTGTTACGCCTGATAAGTGATCCTAGTATAACTTGTTTGTCCTTTCGTCGTAGGGATCAGAGTTAATTTTGTTGTCAGTTGAGATGGGATGAACGATTTACTTATTTTCGTTTTGAATGATTGGTCACTAAAAGGTTTACTTATATTTGGTCTCATGTTACAAAGAAAGGAGAATGACATCTTTATTTATTTTTAACAAGCGATAAGATAACTACGGATATACTCATAACAAGTTACAATGAATCGCAATTAATTATTGAACTTATTATAACTGTATATATCGTCAACGCATTTACTTGAGTGAAAACTAATATCTTTTTCATGTCCACAAAATAGTATATTTACCCAAAATGAAAGGTCAACCATATATGCATATAGATTTAGTCCTTTTACCATTTGCGTTGGACCTTGTTTTCTTCGACAAGAAAAATAGAAATGGTCCAAATACAAAGTATGAATGCAGTTTAATTTAATAGGTTGCTTAAGCAAATCCGAATGTTGTCATGGTCATGGACTCATTGGTGGCATACCGGTCGATGTCAACAAAAATGGCATTGGCCGTAATTAGGTAAAACAAACCAGACGAAATCTTAAGCTAATACAAAACAAAGAGACGACTTTTCAAACAACTTTCATTTTCTTGTTTGTAATTAAAATTTAAAACTAATACGATTAGCACAAAATACTAGATTGTTTCTTTTGGCAATCTGGTTCTCTTTATAGCACTTTTACCCCACTAAGGTAATAATTGTTCAGGCAATTCGGTAAAGGCAATTATTGCCTTAGTATCTGATAATTGCTCGAGTGCATTTCTATCCCGTAAAAGTATTTTATAATAATTAATAAAAAATGTATGTTTAATTTCAAATAAGATTTTTAACCCATCCCAATTGCGAGTCATAATTTTGTAATTTTTTATAATTTTCAATATTTATTTCTTACTTAATTAATATGAACTGTTGAATTACATTTTTTTTGTATCCAACAACATTATAGTGTGCCACGTGGGACACAAAAGGTAATAAGTGAATTTAATTTTTTTTTTTGGGAAAATCTGGACCGTAGGATAGAAACCTTGTGCAAATCAAACAACAGAGGAGGTTAGTGCGCCTACAACGCGGGCTCTGGTGCTACATATTTATCCGACTAATCACGCTCACACGCGTGTGAAGCGCACACACCTGACTCAAGAAAATTATAATGTGAGTGACGCCACTGTGATGCCAATGTGACGCCACTGTGATGCCAATGTGGCACCACCGTGACGTTACTATGACGCCACCCTGACGTCACACTACCTCAAGCAATAGGCTAGGTGGACTTGAGATTGGGAGGGGTGGACTTCCTCCGTCCAAGAGAAGAAAAAAGGGTCACTTACTAGGATACAAACATGAATGAAGTAAATTCTAAATTTTTAATGTTATATCATGGAATGGAAGAGGCAGACATTTTTACAAGTTAGTGAGTTTCTTTACACTAACTGGTCTATGAAATCCAATGATGTTTGAATAGTTAGATGGTAATTGTTAAAATTCAAGCATGCAAAATTTAATTGTTCGCGGTGTATACATTGGTGCATTATCAAATTTTTGTAAGTTACAAGGGTTTGCTAAGTTTTAAACAAATATGAGCTTTCACTGGCTTATGATCAGAACTATGAATGTCGTCCATTGACCAGTAGGAATGCAAAGTTGCCTTGATTTCGTCGGAGTCTTGCGTCTTGAACAAAATCCGGTCGGTCCACGAGGGCACTCTCACCTGAAAAGGTCCGTTGGTGAGGACTGAAGAACCAAATGTAATTATACTTACAATTACAAATGGTAAAATGTGCATGTGATTAGAGATGAAATATTGACCATACATACCTTGTAACTTGTATCATAGTTGCTACTTCCAATGTCATATTTATATGTGGGCTTGAACGTTAACGTGCCCTCACTATAACCTTCGAAGATCTGTCCTCTCCCAGCCTCTTGTAACAGTTGGTCGTTGCAAGTGAGTAGCTGCATTGCATGTAAACACACAAATTAAGATCAAACAGATATCTTGATGAGCTAGCTAATTAACTCTGAAATCAATTAGTTTCAGTTGAAGTTTCTTTTATCCTTGTCTGATGTGCCAAAACATGACAATAAAAGACTTTCATCGTTCGATCGGTCTATCGTACGAACACGTACTCAATGTGAACACTTTGATAATACTATTATAAGTGGTGCATTTGGCCTATTGAGTAGTGTGTCACTGTTTTAAAGATCTACTACACTATTTGGTTAGTTAGTCAACCGTGACACTGTCTGATTGGCTACAACGTGTTGGTCAATTGGTGCCCTAGAAAAATTGCATCAAACGGGCCAAATGAAAAAAATGAAGTGATGAAGAAAACTTACTCTCTGGAGATCATTGTTGATTAGGTTTCTTGCCGGGTAGGAGTCGATTCCTTGTATTCGGTAGTTGAGATCTCCCAACCAAACAGTGATTTGGGGAGGTTTCGCATAAGGATTCAACTTCCCGAAGAAAAGAGATTCTGATACGTTTCTAAATTCAGAGTTCCTTTTCTCCACGTTGTGAGCATGAGCTACCAAAAAAACCACAAAAATTACCTTAATTAAAACACAAAGTCTCAAATCTATGGCAAATCTGTATACATACATATATATACATAGAAATATTTCTGTGTGTGTGTTTGCTAGCTGGGATAATTACCAGAGAGATGGCAAGAGATGAACACCATAGGAATGCCTTTGTAGTTAAGGTGGATTCCCACAGCGCCTTTCTTTCTCCTAAGTAATCCTCCAAAACCTCCTAACGATCGCTTATCCCTCTTCAATTCTGCGTCAAAAATATTTGGGAGAGAAATATTAGATAAAACTGAAGCAAATGCAGTCTTGGCAAAATTAATGAACTCGAACGCGAGTTTAGAGTTCATGATCGTTTCATGTCTTACCTCTGATGAACAAATCAGAGTCCTTTGTCCCAAACACGTAGAGGTGAATAGATTGCATGATGGCTTTTCCTAACAAGCTTTATTATTCCACACAGAACAAGGAGAAACGTAATTAATTAAGGTCGAGATTATTAATTAATTATAATGATCATTTGATTACAAACTTCCATTTTCTCACTAATACAAAAACCCTAATTACGAACTGCAAATAAATATATCTTACGTACATGTGGGAGTCAAGCAGCGCTGCCTTTAAAAGTCGTGAAATATTCTTACGGGGCACCTCCTGAAGACCTACTACCAGAAGATCAGACTTCCGGCTGTTTCCAACCAGCTCCGCCAAATCTTCGTAACAGACCTGCTTATTGCAGACCGATTAAGAATAAGAAGAAAAAATTTAGGGGTGTGCTATCCATACACCCCTTTTTACTTCTCACACACCCCTGTTAATTTCTATCCGTTGATCTTCTTCAATTCATCCGATCCAACGGCCGAAAATCAAAATGTGTGAGAGAAGTAAAAAGAAGTGTGAGGATATCGCCCCAAAATTTAATCATGAAAAATATATACCAAGCTAGAATTAATATGTACGTAACTACTGGTTAAACAATTACTAATTAATAATCAGTAATTAAGCTGAAATTTGTTTGTCATCATTCATTAAGCATGCAGCAAAATTGAAGTTGCTCGAGATCTGAGTACCTCGAGAAATCACAACGGAAACAAAATTGAGGTAGCTACGTACCTGACCATTCATGTTCCAGGTGACAACGGAAACACAAAGATCTGAGTAGCTCGAGAAATCACAACGATTATCTACTCTCACAGTCTTGATTCCTTCATGCGACGTCGTTGCACCCTGGCTGTCCATTGTTTTCCGCCTTAACAAACCCATCAATTGTTTCCACTACTGATCTTTCCAAGAACAAATAAAATCCACCGGACCAACCCTATAATAAATAAATATATATATATATAGAGAGAGAGAGAGAGAGAGAGAGAGAGAGAGAGTTTGAAGAGCTTTATCTCCTTTTTTTCTGCAAACACTAATCTCCAAATTCAAAACGGAGAAAACGGGAAAATGCTAGATTTGAAGGGTAAGAGGGGAGGATAGACTTTGTATTTAGCTACATTGACATGGACTTATATACTAATGCATGCACCACAAGAAAAAAAGGAAACTTAATTATTAGCCACAATTATTTTCCTATTGGCGGTGGGATATGATAAGAGAAAAAAGGGAAAGTCAAAGATATAAAATAGACGTATATTGTCTTGTATCACATGACTTCATTTGTCCACGAGTTAGGTTAGACAACGTTGAAAAATATCATAGACAAGTAAAACCAAACTTGAGAAGGACTATCGATTCCTTCGTAAGCTCTCATATAAACCATATAAATTTTGATGATATAACAAAACGTACGTCAGAATTTTGGTCCAGTACGTCACCGCCGAAACTTACACAGTAGGGTTTACAAACTCGAGAAACAGTGCTAGCCTGCCGGGCATGATCGGCGGTGCCTGCTTACCGTCTGTTTATTGGCCGTATGTTAAGGCGTTCTGCACCCTGTGCTGTGCATGCATGGCCGTTTACGTGCACTCGTTTTCAACTTATTCGAATTTCTGGATTTCACATTTCAGAAGTTGCTTGCTGGCTTGGAAGTGAAGAAGGGCCGGTAAACGAAATGTACATGTGATGCACGGAAATGATGATATTCATCATCGTGTACAGATGGTGCGTTCTGCATGCATGCTAGATTAATGTAGAAGCTAGGTAGTTGCGACCTTATAATTTTCTTGTCAAATTTGAACACAAATTCCAAATGAATTGTACAATCGAACAAATTAATTTCAACAAATATTATATTGAGAGTAAACTAAACATGCACATTCACATGCGAGTCTTGTCTCATTAGAAAAGTTAAGATCCTATTTTTATCAAATTTTGGATCATTGTTTGAACGAAAAAAATTAAAAAGAGATTGTTTTATGGGGTTTTTGAACTTTAATCCCTCAAGAAGATTAAAATTTAAAAAAAACCTGGTGTTAGATTAAATATTGATTTTAGTCCCTAATGTGCCCTTAATTCAAAATAATTAATGTGCATTTTATTTAATGTCTCCCATTAAATATTTAAATTTATTAATACACAAATTCTAATTTATTTTTTGACCAAAAAAGAGTTTTTTAATATATTAATTTTATTTAACATTCTTCAAACTTGAAAGACTCAATTAATGTACCTAAATGTTAGTACCGAAATATATTATATTGAACTAATATATTTAAATGTTAGTACCGAAATGTATGTACTTAAATATATGCACCAAAATGTATTAATATTAAATTAATGTACCTAAATGTATGTACCAAAATGTATGCACTGAAATGTTAGTACCGAAAATGTATTATATTGAATTAATGTACCTAAATGTTTGTACCAAAATGTGTGTACCTAAATGTATGCACCGAAATGTATTATAATGAATTTAATATACCTAAATAAAGAAGATAAAGTACATCAAAATATATTGTATAACAAAAATTAGTTTATCTAAATGCTCACAACAAAATATATTACGATGAATGAAATGAAATTAAAAATTATAATGAAATAAAATTAATACATTAAAAAATAGAAAGAAAAAGATAAATAATTAAAAAATCAAAATATAATTAATAAATGAGGTTATTAATGTATCAAGGGACTAAAATTAGATTTTGATCTTACTCATGGTTTTAATCAAAAAGTCATCTTTGACAAGGATTAAAATGAAGTTTTCTATTGTTTTATTAATACCCCACAATCTTATGAATATACCTATTTTTTTTTAATTCCCTAGAACTTTTTCTTTTATCCTTATTTAAATTTGAAAAAAAAAAAAAAAAACCCCAACACTCACCAATGCACCACCCTATTCCCTTGTCGACATCCAAACAACATGCATCACCATTAACGAAATTCCATTGATCTTAATAATTCATGTTACAAGAAGATAGTCCTGATAATTTTATGTACCCAAACATATGCCGACCCTATATTACAATTAAAGAATGCTTCTATGCAAAAGCACTTTCCATATGTTTTCCTTGTCATAGCCATCGAATAGGTATCCTTGATTCCAGCGTTTGAAAATATAGTTTCTACAAGCTATATTAAAGATCTTGCAGAACGGGTATCCTTGATTCCAGCGTTTGAAAATATAGTTTCTACAAGCTATATTAAAGATCTTGTAGAACGATGGGGAGGGGGCATGGGAGTGGAGTGGCTGTCGTGGGCCATTGACGCCGGTAAAATAGTATTTGGTCATGAAGCCCAAACCTCACCATTTTTGGAAAATTAATAAAAAGCCTATCGTAAAATTTTGATATTCAAAAACTCTTAAACAACTTACTTTGTTATTAAGGGCACCTTTTTATTATTAAGGACACGTTCTTTATGATTAGTATTTTATTTAATTCATAACTCTTGTAAAGTGTGACATTCTTTTTGCTTTTGTCCTTATAAGAGAATTTGTCTGTGTGTTCTTTGATCATTTATTTTTATTTTTACGAGGGGTTTTTTTTATTAGTTCTCCAAAACTTTCCCTACGAACACTATTGTATTATGTAGCTTTTATGGATAATGTTATAAAGATTTAATTTTTGAAACAAATTTGCAAACTAAATGATGTGTCATCAATAGAAATAAGCACATTAATCAATATTTAAGTAATAATCCAATTATCAATATCCACATCATTTTGTTTACAAAATTTGATTTAAAAATTTGATCTCTCTAACATTACACCCAACTTTTATATATAAGAAGGTTAAGTTAAGAAAATATCAATGATGTTAATGATGAATCATGCTAATCCAAAATACTGTTATGTCAACGTAGCAATTTCTTATTAGACGAACCCTAACCACGTGGCGCCTTATTGAGTGAAGGTCTGCTATCTTCTCCAGTACTGTTTTAGGTCATCTCCAACCGAAAGGGTTAAGTATAGCCCCGTCTAGAATTATAGCCCTGCAAAAAATTATTTTTAAATGAGCATGTCATGCTATATTTATATATCATCTCCAACCGAAATTGGCTAAACATAGCCCCTCAATAATTCATGATTGTTAAGTTTATTCTTTAACTTATCGGTATTGTCACATGTTGGTATTGTTACATATGGTTTAAGTTTCATGTTACTATTGTTACATATTTTATTAAATATTTTAATATTACTTGCATGTTAACAACTTAGACATTAAGAGAGGGGTGTGTATGAAAAGAGTGTTTGAGGTAAATAGAATGTGAAAAATAGAATAAATTAAGGTAAAAGATAATATGTAAGGGTGAAAAAAAATGTGAAAAATGGTGTAGAAATGTCCTAGGTATTTATAGAAAAAAAAATTATCTGCAAAAAAAATAATCCAACAACTAGCTGATTTCAGTAAGCTGTTGTTGCTGATGTCTGCAAGCTGGAGGTGACAGGTTAGGCCCCAACAAACGGGCTGATGGCGGCTGGAAATAGCCAACCTAATAGTTAAAAGGTTGTCATTTGGTCTGGTGGGTTCCACTTATTTTTTGTCCAGCCCTTCATTGGAGTTGAGTTTTTTAACAAATCGTGTAACATCTCACATCGCCCAGGAGAGTGATCCTTAAATGTATATTCTCATCCCTACCTAGCACGAGGCCTTTTGGGAGCTCACTGGCTTCAGGTTTCGTCGAAACTCTGAAGTTAAGCGAGAAGGTGGCCAGAGCATTCCCATGATGGGTGACCCACTGGGAAGTTGCTCGTGAGCTCCCAAAAACAAAACCGCGAGGGAATGGTAAGCCCAAAGCGGACAATATCGTACTACGGTGGTGGAATAGGCCCGGGATATGGTAGACCCGGGCCGGGATGTGACAAATGGTATCAGATCCAATCCCTGGCGGGAAGTGTGCTGACGAGGACGTCGGTCCGTAAATGGGGTGGATTGTAACATCCCACATCGCCCAAGGGAGTGATTCTTAAATGTATATTCTCATTCCTACCTAGCACGAGGCCTTTTGGGAGCTCACTAGCTTCGTGTTCCGTCGGAACTCCGAAGTTAAGCGAGAAGGTGGCCAGAGCACTCACATGATGGGTGACCAACTAGGAAGTTGCTCGTGAACTCCCAAAAACAAAACCGTGAGGGAATGGTAAGCCCAAAGCGGACAATATCGTGCTACGGTAGTGGAACAGGCCCGAGATGTGGTGGACCCGGGCCGGGATGTGACAAATCGGGCTAAAGAACGGCCTATAGCCTCGTAACACACCTGTCTTTGATCCCCCAACTTTGGCCAGGTGGGTTGCAGATGGCCTCGGTTATCCTTTTGTAAGAGAGATTTTTCAGTGTAACCGGTACACGAGATGATATATCACGTGTCACTATACAAATTGTGAGATATATGTGCTAAAAAATTAATAACTTAAAAAATAAAATTTTCCACCACATCTATTAAAACACGTGATATATAACTTGTGTTCCCGTCACATCTAAAAATTTCTCCTTTTTGTACATTCTTACAGCAAATTACTTCATTTCATCCCAATTTCATTCACTCTCACCACGTCTCTGTTGCAATGAAGATCCTCCGTTTAATCGATAATTCCGCGATATTTTTTCTTCGAATAGTATGTGATAATTTCTTCTCTTTTTATCATCATCTTGCTTATTTGATTAATTATTCTGTGTAATTTTAATAATTCCATTCAATTTTATTAATTTTGTGTGTTCATTATGCTTTTCATGTGGCTCTGGATTGTTCATATGGTAGCCTGAAGGTATTAGGGATTTTTTTTAATTCACTTTTTTGGAGAATTAGTTGCATTTCTATGGAAGTTTTATTGACATACGATATTCTAAATTACTCTAATTTACGGGGAGGGTGATTAGGCACATTGCTCTAGCCGACTAGCCTAACCCGTACAGTGCTGCATTTTTATGAAGTTGTAGGAAAGAAGCTGAATTGTTTTGTTTTTCTTTTCTTTTAATATGCCGCGTGCCTCTAACCTAAATCTAGTAGCTGTATTTGTTGTTGGGTTTGTTATGGAAAGTAGAAGTTTTGCCCCCGTTGATCTTCCTTTCTGGTTGGCATTTTAGTGGTGAAAACAGAACGAAGCA